GCTGTCTGTGCTCCCTGCTCTGGCTCAGTCACACAGAAGGCCCAACTGTTTGATATGTATCGGTTGAGAGTTAAAAGCCGAAGACCTAAATCTCAAATAGCAAGAGAAGAAGAATGCTTCCTTTTCAGCCATTGTGTACTGAGGCCCTGGAATAGATGCTGACTCTGCCTACCTAGTGGAGTTGCATCCACATTTTAAAGCCATGAGAGTATTCGCTATCTCAGCATGCTGGTTAGACTTTCAGAATGGTTCTGTAGACACCAGATCTTGTATACAATGCGCACACAAATGGCGCTGGGAAAAAACCCACCATTATCGATTAGAAATAGCTCTTTAAAAAGAAATTTCTGTCTCTTAAATTACCTTTTTTTTTTTTTTTTTGCTAGTCTTGAAAATATGGACCCTAACCCTCTTGTTGGTGTCCTGGTAACTGACCATGTGAATGGAAGCATTTCATATCGCCTTACATTTGCCACATGACCACACCCTAGACACCAGGCTTCCACGCCCTCTCCTTTTCAGTGCTGGAAAGCTCGGCATATTTGAGAGCTTATTTGCTTATAACCACACACAGACACCCTCCGATGGAAGGGCTAATGAAGAGCCTGTTAGAAGCACTTGGTTCTGATTTTAAATGCTAGTCCCAGGGCAGGATGCTGAATGAAATTCTTGGGTGCCCTAATTTGGGGGATTTTGTGAAAATTACAGGTCATGATGTTTGTAAATTGCCTACCATAATGTCTAGCAGACATACTAAGTTGCAGCTATTTTTATCGCTTGACATTCCCCACTTTTAGTTTACCATGTGAATGTAGTCACACTGTTACTAATCTTAACAGAGAAATACCATTCTTCCTTTGAATTCCAGCACAAGGTGGGGAGGTGTTTTGTTTTCTCTTTTTCATGATGACACACAGGAATGTGTGAGAAAAGTGGTCCCAGGGAGAGTCAAAAGTCACAGATTTGCTGTCAGATAAGACACCTGAGTCATCCTAAATATGTGAAGTCTTGACCAGTTCGGAGATTTTAAAGGTTCAAATTGTGTTCCCCATGCATCCTTTACAAATCACATCGCCAGAACAGTTCCTGATGTCAGATCCTGCTGCAGATCCAGCTGTGTGTCGTTGTCATCATGTCCGGTCCCCCACCACCACCCCTGTTGGGCCCAGAGGTGAAAAACTCCTAGAGTTCTGCCTTCATGTGATGAGTTTGTCTCCTTCGGCACCCCCACAGGGCTGTGGCCTGGTCTTCACTGACCAGAACAAGAGCCTGTTTTTAAAATTTCAGTTTGTATACAGCGTTTGTTTCCTTAAAGATACCTACCTGTGGGCTGGGGATTTAGCTCAGTGGTTCCGGCACCTGCCTCGCAAGCGCAAGGTCCGGAGTTCCATCCCTGGTACCAAAAAAAAAAAAACAAAAGATACCTACATGTTTACTTAGGCTTAGGCTAGATTATACCAGAGGAAGTAAACCCATAGTTTCATCAAACTCAAACCACAGGCACTAAATGAAACATTTCCAGGATAGTCTATTGGTGACCAGTTTTTATTGAGTAACTACGTTTGGCTGCTTGTTCCCTTTTACTTTTCAATGAGATGGTTATTGGCTATCATTTATAATTTCTAGGTATTTTCCACATTAAACTTCCAATGGGTTACATATAGGAAATAGTAATAAATATTTCTCAAGAATCAAGACACATTCTAACATGGCTAATGTATAGCCATGTTAATTCTCTGATTCCCACTAACATAAGTATTACCTGTTGAAAAGTACTTTGAAAGATGAATATATCATCTTTGGTAATTATTTTCAGAGTGATACAACAACAAATTACTTTCCGTCTAATGACTTCTATTCATAGGTGAAATGATATAAAATAATCTGTCCTTATCATTCATTATTTATGGGTAGTTGAGTAAGGTAAGAGCTATTTTTGATATGCAGGAGCAAATTCTGAACCAGTGGGGTTTCATGCACTTAGTGTCAGCAAAGATATCAACTGCCAAAACCCTCTGATAAGTCCCATTTCAAGCCAGCAGAGTCTGGATAATACCAAACTGCAAGACAACAGTACGTGTGAACTGGCAGTACTGCCAAACTGAGTTGCCATTCTGACCCAAAATAAACACCCTGAAGTTAAACAAGGCGAAGGCACCCATCTGCAAGGTATGTAGTGGGCCTAGCTGGTGAGTTAGACAGACCCTTTGATTTGTCAACACAGTTTTAAACAACTGCCATTTCTCCAAGCCAAAGGTGGGAAAGGTCAGAGAGATTTGAAACCTGCGATAACACTGTGTTGTTGGGGATGTGTGGTATTTGCTAACCAAATGGCAGACAAATGATTGTTAGATGAGGTCTGCTCTATTCTGGACCAGTCCGGGCACAGAATGTAGCCCTTTGTAGCCCAACCTCACCACTAATGTTGTGTCACCAGGAAAAGTAGTTTAAAGTCTTTGGACCTCAGTTCCTTCACATGTAAAACAAGGAGAATAATAAAGATGCTTTTTAAATTTCTGTCAGACTTTTCAAGAACGTGTGATTCTTTTTTTTTTTTTGGTACCGGGGATCGAACTCGGAACCTTGTGCTTGCGAGGCAGGTGCCAGAACCCCTGACCTAAATCCCCAGCCCTGTGTCTTCTTTTTTTTTTTTTTTTTTTTTTGGTACCAGGGATCGAACTCGGAACCTTGTGCTTGCGAGGCAGGTGCCAGAACCCCTGACCTAAATCCCCAGCCCTGTGATTCTTTTTTTTAAAATAAATTTTATTTTATCCCATCCCCCCCAAGTCCCCTCCCTGTCCTGTGTACAAAAGCTTTGTTTCCATTTTTCCTTCTATTTTCACTTTTTTCTGGTCCCTTCCTTCCGTTCTCCCTCCCTCCTCCCTTGTTCCCCTTCCCATCTGAACACTTTCTTCCCATTTCCCAACATCCATTATACATTTCAGTCTTTATTTCCACATTCATTTTCTCCCACCAGAGATACAATGCGGTATTTGAATGTGTGTCTGATTTATTTCACTTAAGAGTATGAAGACCATGTGATTCTTAAAAGGCTCAGAGGGTAGATAGAGGATGCTGGTTTGAATAATTATTTCTTGAGAAAAAGTTATATTAAAAATGGTTTTCTTTCCAGTTAATGAGCCTATTCATTATCTTTTGGTAATCCACAGTGTATCTGAATTTCTTAGGTACAGCAAAAATTAAATATGAAAGAGAATTATTAGAATCAAATGAGAAAGTCACAGAAGGGGTTTGTTAAAATTAAAAAATTCATTGAATCAATTCAACAAGCATTAGACTGTTAGGATATTCTTAGTTTTCAGTATCTTTGCCTTTCCCCTCAACTATTAAGTTGAGTCGTGAAACTGCCATTCTGACAGCCCTCTGGGGGGGTACGGATGGGGTCTTCTGTGGAGAGGAACACACTCCCTTCCCTGTAGTTCTTGATACAATGCTAGTGCATTTGTTTCCCCTTTTTTTGGTATGGGGGATCAAACTCAAGACCTTGCACTTGCCAGGCAGGTGCGGCACCACTGAGCTAAATCCCTGGCCCAAGCACGTTTGTTTTTTTGAAAGCAGTGGTTTTTTTTAATGCAGTCAGGGTTTTTGAAATTACTTAATGCAATT